CCTTACCAGTCTTGGGCAGCTAGTACGGAAGAAGGCTAGTCACAAGGAAAAACCAGTCGGAGTGGATTGGTATACAAAATTGCACCAAGCGGTACGGTCACTGTACCTGTCTRCATTAATCTGCARACTAGTCAGACAAGGCATACTAACCTCATTCGACCAATACGATTTCCGTATGGGTCACTATTCACTTAGTGGTAGGCGGTAGCAGATMGGTAATGTCCCACCAGTATCACAAAAGATCGGTATGAATATTTCGTCTGACTAGTCTAAGAGATGGGGCTGGATTGGTACATAACTCATCCATTCTCCAAATGATGGCAKATCTYKTATTCYTTGTACCATCTTTTCCCTTCTTATCTCCATTGCATCACGGCTCTAGAGCATAAACTATCATCACTKATTTCYTATAATATCGCTTGCTTAAAATCTTCGACCATTGAGACGTGTCCATGTTCGCACACCGAGCATTTACAATCATCCCTCCGGATTGAGCGTTTGCTTCAGTCTCAATAAGTTCCTCGCTATCTAGCTAGACCTTTACCTAAAAGCTTCAAGCTCTGTCATGAAAGGCAGAGATTAGAGTAAGATACACAAGCAATTTCAGATCATCCATTTTGCCCTTCTTCCAAAATTCATGGCCAGCTACCTCTTCCTTGCTCGGCCCAGAGTTCAGCAAGCTAAGCAGGTCAACAGCTTCGGCAGACCAGCGATCCAGGTTCGACAAACCAATCTTGGCTTCGGGCCCTTTCTTCTTATCCATAAGCATCATTGAGAGCCTACAGAAAGAGTGTAAAAATATCTTCCTGTCGCCTCCTGGCTTGAACTCCTCAATGTTGCCAATCTTGACCTCRCCAGCGAGATTGATGAAGGTGCCTGCACATGTGATCGACTCGGGTACAAGACCTTCCCTCATAAGATATTCCGCCCCAGACAGTACCTGCCGGGTATTTTAGTGATATTGACTAAGCTAAGAACTATCCTCATCATACCTGGAATAGAATACAGCTGAGCTGTGATTCGGACGGATAATCCGGTGCTCTTCGGATATGTAGCAGAGAAGTTTCCATCATTTGAGAAACGATGTAGCAATTTCCATCATCTTCTGAGAAGATCTCGATGTTATCAACGACATTTAGATGGCGAATTTGGCGGATGATCTGGAGTTTCTCGGCTTTCAAAGATGGTGGGGAACGGATCATATACATATCCCTGTCAATTCTGTCATCCTTGCCACTTCTTTTCCTAATTGCTATCGCAATAAGGCACCAGTGCTTCACAAAGAGTCCTTTCACATAGTACTTCCATGGAGAACCAGGTAGCACTGGAACTAGGACCGGCGCAACAGCATCGGCATCAGCTCGCTTGACTGGGATCATCGTGCGCAGRCCATCGGRATCATCTTCCCGAGAGCGTTTCTTAGTATCTTCAGATCGTGACTTATCCGACATTTCTTTGTTAGAAGCTTGGCRAGTCTTGGTTGACTTCAGGAGTGCTGCAACCTCATCGTCAACTAGGACGGTATGACGATCTAGTTTCGACACTCTTAATGCAAGAGATATGTGGCTATGGTCGACTCTTCCGAAGTTGATGGTGGGTATGTGACTAGGTATTATAAATTCGAGTCCTGCGATACATTTCCCTCATCGATGTGGGTCAGACTACACTGTGATGGATGCGTGTCGTTCCGTGCGTAGTGAGTCAAAACCGAATAAATGAGACAGGTCAACCGAACAGTACATGCCAAAGGAGGCACCCAGCGGAGGTTGGAACGAGTATGTGTGTGAAGGGTCCAAAATCCGCACCCTTGTAAAAATCAAGACATGTAACCCTGACTCCCAAAACCGATCCCCAACCCCACCGCTTTCGATGAGTCCAAGGGTGCTGGTTTCGGATTGCCACGTAACCCCGCCCCACCTTCTATGGCTCGGCATTGAATTCATGAAGACTTTATTCTAACAATAAAGATGACAGATCCGAGCTAGTTGAGGTACATAAAGGCTTGTCTGCTCCTTCTGAAATTGACCGACCACGTTGTCTTACCTTCTAGAATTCCTTTTTTTTTTTTAGCTGTTCAAGGGGGAGGTTTTAGATCTATTCGCAGAAATAGTTTCGGCCCCAAGCCGATACTCCTGGTTGGAGATTATTTCCCGAGAAGAGCGTTTGGAAGTACTGTAACAGTGGTAGTTGTGCAAAATGGGCACCCCTGTCTAGGTCGTAGATTGAGAAAATGATGATGTGCGTGGAGTTACATTCCAACAGGGATACGAATTCCGCAATTAGACCCCTCGACACCTTACATGAGGCGCTCATATATTTTTTTATCCCCAAAAGTATACATAGTATTGGCGCCCATTCTCATTCGTTCGTATCTCGCTTTTCTCTCGCAAAGATTGCATCGAACGACGCAATATTTTCTGCATACTGTACTCACCAGGGCTCACGAATCATGTCGAGGATGGGCCGCCATTCCTTCCCGGCAAATAATGAAGTTGCGGCGATCTTGATACCGTTCAAATCTCTTCAAGCTAATAGGATCACACTGGATATCTCTTGGTGTGGTGACGGCGAGGCAAACCATCAGAAGCCCCCTGACGATGCTTGTCATGTCGAAACCCTAGCGAGGCAAACTGAGGATAACATTCTTGTGCCGACTTTGACTCCGCTCCTATCTGGATCTCCATGGGTCAACTACACCCAAAATTTCGCTGTCA